CTGATTTTTCATCTAACTCGGTCCTTGTATAGCCCCTCTTCACCAAACTATCTGAATAACTAAGAATCATCATTAATCAATGGATTTTATTCTTACAACGCTACTGAATTACTATTAACCCCATTTTACAGATGGGAAACCGAGGCATAGCGAGATTAAGGGACCTGCCTGAGGTCACACAAGATGTCTGTCTGATCTAGGGAAGGAGTCCAGGTCTCCCAAATACCAGCTCAGTGTCCAATCCATAAAACCATTCCTTCTATGTCTATGCCTTACATAGCCTGTGTTGTACAGGAGGACAGATTAGATGATGGAATGGTCCCTTTTTGCTTTAAAAATCTATGATTCTCCAATTTTTCAAATAATGCAATGTAATCATACATTTTACCTCACATCCTTACATAGGTGTAACCTAGCTTGTACTTTTTTCCTCCAATGTTTAATCCTAACACTAATTTTATTGTCATAATAATTCAGTATCGCTTTATTGTCAGACTTTTCATACAATACAATTCTATGCAAGTTCTCACCTTTCTAACGTACATAGGAAGAATTTAATCAACAGCTACACAATGTTGTTTTCAACCAATAGAACGGACTTCCTTGGGTGCAATTCAGGGGATGAAACAATTGACTAGGAAAGCTCATTTGGTGGCCTATATGTGCTAGCTAATTGTCACAATTACTGTGTACAGATTAGTGTGTGTATGCACTTTTTACTGTGTATTTTTTGTACAGTGGGCCATGAGGCCTAGTGGATAGTGCACTGGACTGGAACTCAGGAGACCTGGATTCTATTCCCAGCTCTGCTACTAGCCTGTTGGGTGACCTTGGGCAAATCACTTTCCTGGCTCTGTGCCTCCGAGGTTAATGATGCTAAACCTCAGACCAACAGACGAAAAGCACTAGAGAAGAGCTAGGTATTAACAAGATGTTAACATGAACAGTATTGTAGAAAACATTATATATGATCGTGTAATTAAGGCTGGGGCAGAGCTAGGGCTGTGGGTGCCAGCTGTGTGCTGGCGTTCCCTGCCTTTGGAATGCCTGTTGCCTCCTCACTGTTCTCCAAACAAGCTTTTTTTTTTTTTTTTTTTAAATAGAATTTCTTAGGGTTTATACAGAAAAAAGCAGCACTTGAGCCTCCAGCCCTTGGATGTTCTGCAGACTTTCCAAAACTGCAATTAGTAAATGTCAATCCCCTCACTGAGAAATATGTGGAGAGACCCCACCTGAATGCCCCTGCCCCAGGCATCCTAGGAGGAGGCAGGGTTTTCACCTGTGCACCACAGGAACTCTGCACCCAGCTACTGAGTTCCCAAGGTGAGCCAGAGCAAGCATCCCTGCCACACACCTTGAAAATTCATCGGAGCTCTGTCCTCGCCTGGACACCTTAGGGAGTCCACAGGTGGTGAAGGGGCTTTGAATTTTTATCATTGACACAGCTGATGAGATGCATCAAAGCAGGGCTCCCTCCTGCACACCTGAGACAGGCTGCAGGGCTCTACTTTGCAAGTTCTACAGACGCTGTGGCAAGGAGCTTGCATTTGCCTCGGCCCCCATGCACTTTACAAGAGCTCTTTTCTCAGCTCGAGTTCTCCCTGCCAATTTCAGCGACAGAAGACTAGCCAGGACCTGACGCAGCTGTGCACAGAGCAGCCTGCTTCAGGTCTGCACTTCAGGCACAATCCAACGCTCACTGTAGTCAAGTGCAAGATTCCTGCTGCCTCGATCAGCCCCTTGACATCAACGGAATCTACTTGTGTGGTTAAAGTCAAGCATGTGCAAAAGTGTTTGCAGGACTGGGGCCCTAATGAACTTAGTGAAAACAACGTACAGCATTTGCTCAGAATGTGAGTTTCAAACGCTCATAACACAGTTAAAATCAAACCCCGTCACCTTTGGAAGAAGGCTGCACACTACTCCTCACTTAAGGCTAGTTCCAAACCAAATTTCAACATTCAAACCTGTCATTTTGACGGCAAGGCTGTGTTAAACAAACAAAAAGTTGCAAGATTTTTTTTTAGAATGGGAAATGTGCATTCCCCTCCTTGTACTCAAACCCAGCGGAATGGGTATTGCTCAGTTTAGAGACCACGCCTAGAAAATCTCAGCCCTAAAAAATTATGAGCAACCGAAAACGGGGCATTTGAATGGAAACTCTTCTGCAACCTTCACTCTGATAAATCAAGAGCAAAACCTCACTAGAATGTAACACAAGAATAGATGAACTCGAAGGAGTCAGGGTTCTGATAACACACGGCTACTAGGCCCTTGTGTACTCCATTTGTAAATCAGTGGAGAGATCCGGATGCCCAAGGATGGCAGAACTGGCTTCCAAGTTCCATGATATCAGAGTGTGTAGATATGTATATTTATCAAGCTTTGCAGCTCACTGTTAACTCTACATGGTGCCTGGACCAAATCCTGCTCTCTGTCACGCTGGTGTAAATCGCAGGTAACAAGTGAAGTCAAGCATGTTACCCCACATTCACACAGGTGTAATGGGGAGCAGAATTTGGTCCTGCCTCCGTATAAATGCACATGGCATCAGGAAAGGAGGCATCCAACTGGTTGGAGGAGGCTCTGGCTGCTCTTGTAACTGTCCAGCTCTGGGTTTCTCTGAGAATGCATCTCCTGGGGGTGGTACACCCACAGAGCAGAAAAGTTTTCTTACTGCTCATTTCCAAGGATCCCAAAGGCTAAAGCTGTTTTTGCAAACCAGGATTTATCTTACTCAGTGGGCAACCCTTCAGCTGCCTTTCCAATCTCACCTGTGAAGGGAAGAAGGAGGGACCAGCAAACAAAGGGATTTAAAGTCTCCTATTTTGGACCGATCCAGTGTCCATTTCATTTCAACAGAATCATGAGCTGACCAACTGCAGATGGAGCTACTGGTGCTCTCTCCCTTTCCATAGCAAAGGGGCATTGGAATGGCAAAAATAAGATAAGGGGCGAACATCCTGGCTCCATAGACTTCAGTGGTAAAACACCCATTGACTACAATGGGACCAGAATGTCCCCTAAGCTGTTTTGGCTTTTTTAATTAATGAATCCCTTGTGCGGTTTAGTGCATAGGGCACCAGATCGGGCCTCAGAAGACGTGGGTCCTGGTCCCAGCTCAACTACAGAGTGACCATGGGCAAGTCACTTCCCCTCCTGCTGCCTGCCTGGCTTGTTTCTTTAGATTGTACACTCTTCAGGACATACATCCAAGTGAGCTTCTTCCTGAGCTTGCTTATTTTTTGGGCTCCTCGCTACACAGCCCCCTCTGTCCCTGCCTCTAGTTCCCTCAGCCATAGGGAAGGGCTCAATACCTGTATTCTCCTGAGTTGGAGCTAATGAGACCCACCTGGTCTGGCTGTCAGGCTGCAGAATGACTCTACAGCTCTCTGCAGGGTCCTAGCACCTGTTGCCCTGGTGGTGACTGTTTCCACAGAAACGGGATCGAACAGGCATCAACAGCGAGCACTGGGTTTGCAAAAAGCAGCTACAGACGTTAGAAGCCTTAAATTAAAGAAACAATAGCAGTGAGGGAAACGCTTGGAGGCTGTAGTACCTCAAATGGGGGGGAGGGATGGGGGGCAGAATTAAAAATAGTCACTTTAAAAAATGTATTTCTAACCACCCTCCCACTTAAAGTATTTAAAAAGGTGAATAAAAGCAATATGGACCTTCAAGTAGCATGGTTATACTGGATAGCAGCAATTCAATGGTTGAAGACCCATGGCTGACACTCTCCCAATACGCGTGTGTCTGATGTTTATGCGGACACGATGGTCTATGTGTACGCACACCTCGGCATACTCCAGTAGGTAAGCATATACCTTTATGCATCTGTATCCCACCTTCTGCATCCAAGGAGAACAGGTAACATTAATCCTGTTGCTTTCATTGGACTGGGTGCATAAATACACTGGTAACACGTGCAGCTCTTTGACATCATCTTTCGGGTGGCCATTGAGGAGGGAGGCCGTGCGTGCCTGCATCAGATAGGCAACGTGCTCCAATGCATAAGGCACTAGACAGGGCCAGGAGATCTGGGTTCTAATCCAGGCTCTGCCACTGCCCTGCTGGGTGACCACGAGCAAATCACTTCCCTTCGCTGTGCTCATTTCCCCTCCCTTGCTGTGTCTCGTCTGTTTCAGTTATAAACCCCTCCGGGCAGGGACTATGTATGTGTTGAGCACCTAGCGCAACAGGACTCTGATCATGGGTGGGACCCTCTAGGTGCTAATATAAAGGACATAAATAATGGGTGTCAGGGTGTCTCTGATTTACTTGAGCAGCTCAAAACCCTGCCCCACGTTTGTATTGAGCCTGTTGAGTGATCTGTAATTAATTGTATAATTGAGGCTTCTGTATTAAATTGTGCAGAAAAATCAGCAAATGAAACCCTTAAAGGGGCACACACAGATTACAGAAAAGAGAGCTAGCTTTCTAGAAAGGAAAACCCCACCAGCCACACCCAGATGAACACCTGTGCCCGACCTCTTTCAACAAGGCTATTTAGCGCAAAGCCAAACAACGGAAAAGTAAGAGGAGACTCATTTACCTGTGATTTTTCTGGCTGTCTGTGGCCCTAAGTAACGGACATCCTGAGGGATTATCTGGGCAAGTACTGTATACATGAGAAGCACAGTAAATTAATCCATAATTAAAGCATGCATAACCAAAAACAGCAGCCTGGTTCTCTCTCTGCTACCACAAAAGTTTGTGTGAAGTTCTACCATTGAGTCCAAGGTCTACCTAGGAGGTCCTTCTCCCATGAAGCCACAAACTCCCGCTGAGGCCAACAGGAGCAGAAGAGAGGTCTGCACTGATTAACTCCCTGCAGGCCGGATGCTGCCCCCACTGGACTTAACGACAGACTCCCATTGATTTCAGTGGACACTGGACCAGGCCTGGGTCCCCCTGGACAAAGCTACATTTCAGGCTGTCAGACCCACAATCCTAACCCAGTCCCCCTTTCGCTCTGTGTCCACAGACTCCTACACTTCAACTCCCCCTTCCCATTCCCCAAGCGGCTGCATTGACGAAGCTAAACGTACGGATTGTCTGTAGGTATATTTATACGTAAATACAAAACCGTCTCGCCATGCGACAGCGCATAGGAACATTTACAATGATTTCCAGCTCTGGCTCGATCAAGTGAACGTTAAATACAAAACCAAAAAGGTTGTAAAAATAAGAATGTACACATTCAGAGAGCTTATTACAGTATAAAGTTACTGAGGTCTGCTCAGCTGCCAGCCTCACCTCTCTGGGAGGGGAAGGAGGGGCGTGATGGTCAGATCTCCCAGCAGCACTTGGGAGGACTGGGGTTGCGCAGTCTGTGCGTTGAATGGCAGGCCGGGCACCGCCTGGGCAGTAAGGAAGGGGTAAGCAGCTGCTCCAGGTTTTTGGCTTCTATACCTTAAGGTGGTCTTGGCTTGGCACTCGGCAGCCGCAGCTCATCCTGATGATGTCTGCCTGGCAGAGATAGGCGGGAGGGGGACTCCCTGGAAAAGCACAGCTTCTAGCGCAGAAGTAAATTAGCCCCATCAATTGGAGTTCAGACTTCCTTGGTAAAGCCCAATTACTCTGACAGCACTTCACAGCCCTCTGCCCTGCAGCACTTCGTACCTACTGCTACCCATCGCTGCCCCCTAGTGAGCAGGTGAGTCATCTCCAGCCTGGGAAGGAAGGGTCCTCTCATCACAGTGAAGGTCTGCAACTCCTCACTCAAGGGAAAAGATCAGCCCCAGGACCCCTCCTCCAAATAAAAGACAGGTGAGACAGTGTAACCCCTGCACGCCACCCCTGGCACGGGGATGTAGCATGCGCTCTGATCTAGCTGGGCTGAGCGCAGCTTCTCCACACCACTCCGATCCAACAGGAATGTATCAGCGCAATACGCGCCGTGGTCCGTACACCGCCAGGCATGTATACTAGCGAGCGTGCGTCTTCTACAGCTGCAGCAGAGGAGTGAAAAGAAAAAAAACAAACAAAACAGAGCCAGTAACATCACAGCGCCATTAACAAGGCAAGGCTATAACTCGCCACTGGAGAGATCACAGCAGTGAGACAACATTACAACACTGAGCCCCAGGAGCAGCCAGACCCAGGTGCGTGTATATATGTATCTATATAATACTTATGTAGGCTAGACCTGAACAAATGGAGTATATATTATATACACACATACATACAGACAGACAGACACACACACCTCGTGGCAGGTAAGACTGACGTATGTGCCTTTTCTAAGCCCAAGGCTAGGCTGGTACTGGAAATGGATATTTCTTTAAGTCAAGTCCTCCAGGTGGATTTCAGGTGGTCCCACAAAAACGAAATCATATTGAGGGAGCAGATCCTCTTCCCACTTATCTCTAGTTACCCCTGGCAAGTGGCAGCCACAATTTGGTTTGAATAAGGCACAGTTCAACAGCAGGTGCGAATAGTTAAGACCACGAGCCGCTAGTCAGTGGCTACTAGCTGCGATTCATCAGAACCAGCTAGCCAAGGAAAGGTTGGAGCCCTACGACAAAGGAGTTTGGTTACTGAAGGCTCTGCTGAATCCGGACTGGTCGTGAGGAAGGTGGGCTGGTCGTGACTGACAGGAGAGCCAGTCCCTGCCATCGGGATGGGTTGCGTCCCCATTAGCTCTTCTCCTGGCCTGCCCGTGTGGGAGTGGAGGGCAGCAGGCCCTCTCTCTGCACATGCTCAATGATGGCCGTGTAACAGAAATAGTACTGCTCGGGGGTCTGGATGCTGAAGGCTCTCTGCGTTCTCATCCGCATCACCGTCTGGTACACGTTCAGCGTGCCCATGTCCTGCAGCTGGGAGAGGCAGATGTCCAGCGCGCAGAAGGTACCTGAGGGATGGGACAAACAGGCAGTCCATCAAAACACTGCCTCTGCAGCAGCCCCACCCCACAGAAATGCCTGACAATCCTGCTCCCCGCTGCCACTCGTAGACTCCCAGTTACCGTCCTAACGAATCCTAAAATCTCAGCTACCCTTGGGGAACTTCCTGTCCTAATGCCACAGATTAACACTGAATTCTTGCAAGGGGGAGGAATTCCATCCCTGACGGACATGCAGGGATTTAAGGCTCCAAGTGTGCGTGTCCTTGTCAACGTGCCCAGGCGGATCCCACAGAAAGGAGTTCCCGTGTGAGTCTCCCATGAAGGACCAGCCCAGTGAAGAGCAATCTACCATGTCAAAGAGCCGCTCTCGGGATCCCAGCTCTCAGGCTGAAGGTACATGGCTCCCCCCGTGAAGGGACTAAGGACTGCCTGAACCGGAAACAAATCGCAGCCAGCCCTCAGTGTGTAAAAAGCCCCATGGGGTACAGAGCTGGAATTGGAAAGTACTGGGGGAGGGTGACAGTCTCCGTGGCTTCACAGTGGGTCCGGAGAGCATCCCATGGGGGAAAAAATACAGTAAGCAGAAAGAGGAGCTATTTTCCTCCGAACTACGGCGCCTCCTAGGGGTTCACTAGGAGTGACACCAGCAGAGTTTCACTCTGTTCTCTCGGTCTCCTATTTACAGGGGCTCCCCCAGCAGCCTGCTCTGTGGAGTTGGAGAGAATTACCTGTCCTGCCAATGCCAGCGCTGCAATGGACCACCATAGGCGGCCCTCCTGCGTGACCTTTGAAGCGAGGCCCCAGGGCACTGGCCGCCAACCTCTGCTGCTGCTTGACCGCCCCCAGGAAGTCGATCAGAGTGGCAGCTGAAGAAGGAACGCCGTAATCCGGCCAACTCAAGTACTGGAAATGGGACACCAGTCGCCTCTCTCTGTGCTGTGTGCAAAAGCCCCACCGTCAGTGCTTTTCACTTCCATTCCACTCCCCTGCTCCCGTCCCCCCGGGAGCGCCCCTTTCCTCCCCATGTACAGCGTGGGACTCCAGGCATTCCCTCTCTTCTTCCTGGAGCAGCTGCACACCAGCCATTGCAAGCCCTGCAGCATGGGCCTTCCCTCACCCGCCCATCCCCTTCTGTGTCCCCGCCCCTTCCTTCTGTCACATCACCTGCATACAGCATTCCCAAGGGTCCCGTCTCCCAACCGGGGATCAACAGGCTGCCATCAATGCCAAACAACCCAGATGCAACCTCTCTCCAAGCCAGCAGAGTTCATCAGCACAGTGGGGTCCTGGGGCAGCTCCCGAGCCCAGCTGGCCCACATCACAGTGCTGCTGAGACACCATGCTCCACCCCGCGTCTCTCCCTTCCGCAGAGATGGCCGTACCCCTCTCCCCGTGCAGCTGAGATTCACTGGCATAGACCATCCCGCCTCCACAGGCAGCCGAGCGGACGGCAGCTGGGGCTCACCCACGCTGCCTGCTCCTCCATAGGCACCAGTGAGGATGGCATCCTCCTTCCCCCATGGAGCCTAGTCCTCTGGCCCCTTTCTGGAGAGGTTCCTTGCAGCGAGGGGCGGGGGATTACCTCAGTGTTATAGATCTCCAGAAGGGTTTTCTTGTAATGGTTCAGGTTCTCCACCCCAAGGTTGGTGACAGTGAGGGATCCGTAGCACACCTGGAAGTCTTTCTCCAATGGCCAGTACTGGCCACACTTCCTCCGGCCTCCCTCCTCAAGCCTGTAACATACGAGGGGTGGGGAGAAGGGTAGGTTCTTCATCGCCTCCTCCCTGAAGCAGATCGGGGAGGTCGTTCCATCCCGGCCAGGCCACCTACCAACCTGCAGGGCAGCTGGGTCACAGACGTCCTGACGGGCTTGCACCTGCCCTGACCCTACACTCAGACCCTGCTTGGTAACGGGACAGGAGGGAAATGGGGGACAGAGTCCTCCCGTGCAGGAGGGGTGAAGGATGAGGCGAGCCAAGCACCTTAGAAACAATTGCCCTGACAGCATCCCCCAAATACTGGGCGGACACATGTCAGACTGGTAAACACTGCAATGAGACAAACTTAATCCATCGTTACAGGGGCCATTTTGGGGGTGTCTGTCAATCTGATAGGTCATTTCAACATACACCACGACTCTAAGGTTGGGGGTCACAACCATTCTTCCTTTCTTGCCTTTTCATTAAAAATAAATAAATAAATAAGCTTTTCAGCCATAATGGTTGTAGAGAGAACCTTGTAAACCTGATCAAAGCGTAATTGGATGCAGTGAGCCCTGCCTGACTGGGCGGTTAACAACAGTTCAGGGGCTCTCAACAGGGGTGGTGGACACCAGCAAGCATCAGGGGTTGCAGTCATCCTGCCCTTCCAGGTACGGAAAAAATGGAGACCCACTGATGTAAGCTATTCCCCAGAATGCTAAAATCAAACTCCACACTTAAAATAATGATAATGCTTTGCACATCTTCAGTGTGTTTCACAAACATTAAGAGACTCAAAACTCCATGGAGGCTGATATTAATAGACTGATTTTACATATGGGGAAACTGAGGCGGGAGATTAAGTCACCTGACCAAGGTCACAGAAGGAACAGGCTTCAGAAATGGGAAACAGGATCCCAAAGTACTATACAAACACACTCTCTCTCTCTCTCTCTCTATATATATATACATACACACACACAGTAAATATATATATAGTGTGTGTATGTATATATATAAAATTTGTATGGCACTTTGTATATGTATATACACACATATGGTACATCCACACCCCTACACATATACACATGAACTTTTCATATACATATATACATGTATAAATTATGGCCACCAACAACCAAAATGCAGCCACTTCTTGGGCAGAATGTGGCAGATGCTTTAACAGTGCACAACACCACTACAAATGTTTAGGGCAGTAAGTGAAGAAAGCAGCAAGCTATGCCATATCCTGTGCTGTATGCTGAAGTCACAGGACGTGAGACTTAAGGAAACAAAAAGTGGTTATCCAAACCGGACTTCAGCCTGCACCATGGCACTAACTCTCATTCTGTGAAAAGGGACATAGGATCTTGAACGTCCCCAAGTGGCCAGGACCTCTCATCCAAGAGGCTGAGTGGGTCTCTGCTCTCTGCGCACACACACTCACCTGGTTGTCATGACAATCACCAGAACGTTTTGCTCCCACACCATGCGCCAGAAGTCACAATACGTGTTTTCCAGAGGTCCTGATGTGACAGACCACACATGAGAAAGGTCATAGGTGTTGGACACATCAATTCTCATCCAGCATCTCAGTGAACATGGGGATACACAAATTACACCTCCCGCTGGATTGCTCAAGCCAATCCCCTCTGGCCACACCCTCAGGAACAACCCAAGAAGAGGGTAGCACCTGGACCATGGGTGTATGGCAAATCAGCACCTAGCAATGACAACAGACCATCTAGGGCTGCCTCATCAAATCATGTGGATCGCTGAGATGCTACATGGAGCTTCTAAGAGTATTAGTAAATGCACATATGGTAGCGCCTGTTTTTCACTGCCCAGCACTGCAGTGTGATTATTAATGGTTGGGGTTAGTTCTCTTCTCCTCCCAGCCACATTACAGTTGCTGTCACTGGTACCAGAGCCAGCACACACGGCTAGAGAACATGGCTAGAGTAGGAAGATATTGAGGAGAGACGACCCACTGTAAAACACTACACCCATTCCTCCTGAAGACCAAACACGATACAGGCCAAGTGCTTAAAATGGCCGACAAATTTCTAGCCGGCTATGTCTGCCACAGATTTGCACCCCATTTTTCTGGCCCCACTTAGCTGCCGACCATGTCTCAATTGCATGCCACCAGCCCCAGGGAGGTTTGTGAAGAGCAACGTGGTGACGTGAAAAGCTTTTGGGTAGGGCTGGAGGAAAAGTTGTGAATTTGCTGTCGGCCCCAGACCCTGTGGTGGTTTTGTGTAAAAGCTGAGAAAGGTGTTAACAACAAAACAACAGCTGAGCCTTCTGTGGTACAACGCTGCCTCAGGGCTGGGCTGGCCCCTGTAAATGAGGCAGGTCCAGGGCCCCTGTGACAGAGCAGTACTCCCAATTGGCCAATTAAGAGGGTGGGGCAGCACCTGGAGGCTAGAAAAGATCAGGGAGAGACCCAGAGAGTCAGTCAGGAAAGGCCAGGAGACTGGAAGGGATCTCTAGGGACAACTGCCGAACACTCTCTGCAGGCACTCCTTGGGAAGAGGGAGGAATTGGCTAGGGGCTTGTCTACACTACGCAGCTTTTAGCCACAAGGCTGTCAACACAGCCTTGTCGCTAAAAGTCAGCGTGTGTGAACGCTCTCTGTCGGTATTTTGTCAGCACTTTTGCCGACAAAATACTTCCAGCCCCACACACTGCCACTTGCATCTGCAAAACTTTTGTCTTTTGCGGGGGGGACTTTTTTAAGTACCCGTGAAAGACAAAAGTTTTGTCAACAAGGTCACAGTGCAGACAAGCCCGAGACTGTAAGTTTGGGAGAAGGCTGAAGAGCAGCAAGATGGGTTTGTTAGCTGGCTAGGGCCAAAGAAGGCTGAAGGCAGGAAGAGCAGCAGAGGACATTACCTGCTGACATCTCCAGGGTTGGAGAGCTGGACCCAGAGGAACCATGAGAGGGCTTGTGGTAGTGAGGGATGCTCCCAGGAGAGAGGCTGTGGGGAAGCTGGCAACAGAGGGGTTGCACTCCAGCTGGAAGGGCTGGGTAGGCTGGCTTGCTACAAGGACAGGAGAGGGCTGCGCTGGATATCCAGGGCATGGGGAGGGACACCAAGGCTGCGCTGGAGAGCCAGGGTGTGGCAAGAGATGCTGGGGCTGTATATTGCATGTACTGTCTGGACCATGCTGGGGAATTCTGGACTATGGTTGTGGGACTTGTTATGGGACTTTTGTAATGAATTAATCCCACCAGAGCGTTTGGATTGTTTCGAGGGACTCTGAAAGGGGAAACTGAGGCAGAGTCATCTGTCAAGCCATGGCCTGCTGCAAAATAGGAGGGTCCGGGGGGGGGGGGGGGGGGGCTGCTCCACAACAGACAGCATCTCTGCTGCCACATGCACACCAGGCACATTGTGAGCTCAAAGGGATTTGACAGGGGAGCTTTATGCTGCTACGCCACTATTCAGTTGGAAATATTGACGGGGATTTTGTTTGTCTTGTAGAAGACCATGTGGTCATCTTGAAACACTTTTTTGGGGAGCAACAGGGATGTAGGTACGAGAGAGAGCTCTGTAACTAGGCAATGGCACTGGAGTAATTTGATACATACTTTGGCAGCAAATAACTTGGGTTTTTTGTTGTTGTTTTGTTTGTTTAAAGTTTGACCACATGGCTGGACATGGACAAATCAAATACAACCAGCCAGTCTGTCCCATCCCTGCTCTGCCCTGACTAGTGGCTCAAATGCTCCCCAGAGGAGTAACGGGGGAGGTTTCTGCAAGATGATTTACCAGGACTGCTCCATTCCCTGAGACCCCCGGGCACATGAGAGTTATACGAGCTCTGGCAAAAGGGGCCTTGGATCATTCCTTAAATGCAGGCAGATGCTCTGCAAGCCCCAGCACAGCGAGACGGATGCTTCCATCGCATGGCAGGTCCCTGATTCGAAAGGAACCAACGTATGTGGTGCCAAGTGCCATAGAGATGGAGGCTGTGATTGTTCCTGGGAGACGGCATCTGCCTTAGCCAGGACGCTCATTTCCAAACAGACACGCAGTACTGGGTGAGACCGTCGGCTGCCGTACGCTCATACGGCTGAGGGGAGAGGGAAGCTATGTTTCAAGTAAGACGCCATTCCCTGCCAGCAGGGCCCACGGATAGTTGGCCTGATTTTCCCATGGACTTGAATGGGTGTCAGCACCTTTGAAATATCCACCTCAAACGGTATGTCTGTGCTGCGAGTGGGAGGCACAGCTGCAGCACGCGCAGCCGTGCCCGCACTACCTTGGATGCTGCTAGCTCGCTAAAAATAGCAGTGAAGTGGCAGTGGCACGGGCTAGCTGCCCGAGTACAATCCCGCCTTGTACCCTCGGTACCTGCTCAGGTGGCCAGCCCACGCAGCTGCAGCTAACCTGCCGTTTTTAGGGTTTAGCCCGGGTACATCCACACGTGTTGCACTAGTGCCTCTGGATTGCCTGTGGTCACACCCCCTCTCTGCCAAACTTCTCGCTCCCCCACCCCCCCAAAATCCCTGCTCTCCCTTCTCAATGGGCATTGGCTTAGCTTCTTCCCTGGCCCTCTGGGCTTTGTGCCAGCCTGCAGGGAGGGATATCTGGTGTCCCCGGCCAGTGCTGCTCTCCACTCTGCAGGAAGCAGTTCTGCAGCACTTTAGCTTTACACAGAGCTCTCCATACATTAACTAACCCTCACAGCACCAAGCTATTAGGGAAATAAGTAGGGCCCTAGCAAATTCACAGCTATGAAAAACACGTCACAGACCGTGAAATCTGGTCTCCCCCCTTGAAATCTGATCTTTTGTGTGCTTTTACCCTACGCTATACGGATTTCACAAGGGGAGACCAGAGTTTCTCAAATTGGGGGTCCTGGCACAAAAGGGAGTTGGGGGGGGGGTCACAAGGTTATTTTAGGAGGGTCCTGGTATTGCCACTCTTACTTCTGCGCTGCCTTCAGAACCGGGTGGCCAGAAAGCAGCAGCTGTTGGCCAGGCGCCCAGCTCTGAAGGCAGCGCCCCGCCAGCAGCAGCACAGAAGTAAGGGTGGCAATACCATACCATGCCACCCTTACTTCTGCGCTGCTGCTGGTAGCGGTGCTGCCTTCAGAGCTGAGCAGCTAGAGAGTGGCGACTGCTGGCCGGGAGCCCTGCTCTGAGAGCAGCGCCGCCACCAGCAGCAGCGCAGAAGTAAGGGAAGCAGTATTGCAACCCTCCCTACAATAATCTTGCAAACCCGTCCCCTCCCCCCCCCCAAACTCTACAATTACACCACCATGAAATTCCAGATTTAAATAGCTGAAATCATGAAATTTATCATTTTTTAAATCCTGTGACTGAAATTAAGGACTGTGAATTTTGTAGGGCCCGAGAAATAAGCATGCCGCCCTCCAGAAGGGGAACAAACCGGCCCAGAGAAGCGAAGTGACTTGTCTAACCTATTGCTTCACTTCCCAGACTTGTCCTGCACACAGCTGACGAATAGCCCACTGAAATCAATGAGAGTCTTTCCATGAACTCCAATGGGCTTTGGATCAAGCCCTCGCTGTACAGCTCCCCTCCCCACCCCTTTGAGTGAGCCCCTCCCACAAGCCGCCATGCTCTAGAGTTGCTTCTGACACCGCAGCTCCACCTGCTCCTTCCAGCCACTTTCCAGCCCATCCAGAGGCAAGATTCACTCTTTACAGGACTCTTACGAGCACAGACTGGATCGGTGCCGAGACTCCCCCCGCCAGCCATGTTGGCAGCATATGAACAGCGACATGCCAGCTCACTGCCCCGACACCGCCTACCGGTGGGCCCAGCGTCATGGCGTACTGACCCCATTCTAAGCAGAGTATGAGCTTACCTTGAGTACCAATGTAAGCATTCCTTTGCTTATAGCCATCCATGAAGCTGGCATTGATGTAGTCTGTCAGCTGGAGAAAGAAAGGTACACAAACCATTACCCTGCGGAGCATAACACCACAACATGCTGGAGGAGGAATGCCCAAGGGCAGGGGAAAGCTGTTAGTCAGCTGAGCAACAGAACGAGTCTGATGTACACAGGTTGGGACAGACAGAAGAGGACTGGGCACCATGCGTTACCAGATCCCTGATCCACATCTGGGGCATCTCCTGCAACCCAGCTTTCGTGCTGGGACAGAGCTCAGGTTTGCATCAGTTTTAAAACACTTTGACACTAGCCTATTTTAAAACAAAATCTGCCCATTGCACAGCCATGATGCTGCTTACAGCAACTACGCTAACACCCCTCAGGCCAGTTACACTTGGGGCAGCGGTGCCATGGGACCTGCAACCTGCTCCCACCAGGCTGGGTGGAGCTTAGGCTATTGCTATTTCCAAATACCCCTGACAAATAACCGGGGGAAGGACTGCAGGGAAAGAGGGGAGCCCAAATGCCCACAGAGACCAAATAGCAACGAAAAGCAGGGGAAGGGAGTGAATTGTGATGGAGCAAAACTCCAGACCTTCCAATCACCTGGAGGCGTCTTAAAGTAACAAACTCAGCAGGGAAGAGAAACTGTCAAGCTTGACCGGATTCAAATCAGAGCCCCTAAATAACCTCCCACGATGCCTTGCTGTCCATGCTGCCCAGGGACGCAGAGACGGGCTCTCTTCACTCCCTTCCTCTCATAGAAAGCACAGACATGCAGGAAACTTAAAGGAACAAAGATCCCTTTCTCTGCAAGGACCCGAGTTGGGGCCCTCAGGGTTCTGTGTTCCTCCCTCCTGGTGCAACTGAAAACTTGACATGCACCCCAAAGCGGTGCCCAGAGCTGCATCCCTCAGGGATTTAGGGGTTAATGTCATAATTGACCATTCTAGGAGAGGCGCCCCGAGACTCCAGCCTGGGCAGATGAACGAGGCAGGGGCTCACTCCAGCTATTTTCACCTGCATGCTCACGCAGCCGCAGTTACACCGAAGCCTCCCCGTGTGCTACGTTCAGGTTCAGAGCTCTCCAGGCTGAGCTATTTTTTTTAAATGAGAGCCACACTGCTGCCCCTTGAGCAGCCAGCCCGGAGCACCGTGCTTGGCTCCATGCTCCTCACATTCACACTGGCAGGAGGCATTTCTTGCCAGGGAGCACATGCGCTGAGAGTGACAACAGAGGATTGAAAGTGGCATTTGGGAGCTTCCAGCTAGCAGGGGCCGTAGCGGGAGATGCTGGCTGGCTGTTGGGGCTCGACGTCACACCCGGCAAATGAGTTCCCATCTCGCTTTCAGAGGAGAAGCTAATACTTAGAGCCAGACGCTCAGCAGGTGTAAGTCAGTGTAAGCTGACTGAAGTCAATGGAGCTAGGCAGATTTATTCCAGCTGAAGATCCAGCCCTGTTAAAGAGCTATGTTCTTCTGAGTGTTAAAGCAGGGTGGGACATGGGGTGCCCCTTTCCGGTCACCCCAGCACAGCCAGGGCCGCACAGGGTTCCCTTTGCCCAGCACTGCTAGGCACTGTCCAGGAGAATGCTCCACTACCGCAGTAACCGGTGCTGGTGTTTCCAACACAGGCCCATGCTGTTTAAGCGCAGGGCAATACACGACCAGCTGGGAGATGTGGGTTTGAGACTCTGATTCGAGGCACCACAGGCTGGCAGAGCGCGTAGAGGTGTCCCCCGACTCCGAGGGAGGTCTTTTCCTGCCAGCCACACCAGTCTGCGGGTTTCCCTACGTCCTGAATGCACAGTGTAGGAGACGGAGGGACCTGGCGAGGCGCGTAAGGCAGGACCCGAGGACATTCCTCAGAGGTGGGAGGGAGCGGTGAGAGGGGAGAGACTTGCCAGCCTCTCCTGGGGACCTAGCCTCAAAGCGCCTCAGGGTCCCACCCTCCAGAGCCTCTGCTCTCTCAGGGCTGGCTGCCCCAGGAGAGACCCTGCTGTGAAGGAGCAGGCACATGTGAAAGCCTGGAGCAGGTGGTGGGTTGGGTCTCTGGGTGGAGACAGGAGTCCCCAGCCAAAATAAACCCACGCTCACAGTCTTACGCAGTGCTTTCAGAACACCAGGCTAGGCACCGCTCTCACACTGCCCCAGCTGGCAAATCACTCACCCTAGCACACAGGCATGTCCAGCATGCGACTGCCACCCCAGGAAGGAGGGGGAGGGGCCGTCCGGATGGCGGAGAGTCAGCGCCCCAGGGAAAATGGCCTCTGCCTGCTTACCTCGGAGCGGCTGTACTGCTTGGTCAGCTTCACTCGAGTTTGGTCCAGGCACGGCACGTCCCCATAACGGTTCTTCTCCTGGTTATACGGAGCCCTGTGGGGCACAGAACAGGCAGGACAAGTGAGGAAGAGCGCGCGGACGGGAAGCAGTGACAGACTCTGTTCTAGTCACACCATGTGCTGGTGCCCGGGTTTGGGCTCTGCCGTCAATCAGACCCAGGGCTTTCCTTATCTAGGGAAAAGCCCGGCTAGCAGATTGTTATGGTCAAACTGACACCCAGTTCTCGTCTCTGGTAAGTTGGGCTGTGATGTTAGGAGGGTTGCTTTGTTCTCCCACCTGCTCTTGGACGGCACTGGTAAGTCAGCAATCCAATAATAAACCAGGCTGAACCTTCCCTGGCAGCTAGAGCGAAGGATCACCCGTCCCAATGCACCTGATGGTACCTGCAGCTGAACTGCAACCTTCTCAACTGGAGGCACTGCCTCCTTCCGGACGCTGCTTCGCCCAGCCACAAAGGAAGGGGCTGGTTTGGTGGCACTCTGCGTGCAGAGGCGCACTGCAGAACCAGGTTTGCTCTCCCACTGTGAGGCTAGTAAGACGTGGACACATGCACAGTAAACACGTCCTGGTCTTAGGAGTCCCTTTGTTAAACCTTATTGATGATTTCTAAACCATCCCTTTGCCCTCCATCTCCTGCTGCGGAGCCTGCCATGCAAGGAAAGAGACTCAGGTCAGACCCGCTGCATGGACTAGCCAGCCTGGGATGAAGAGAATGGAAGCAGATTCCCTATTGAAAGAGATGGATTGTTTCAAGCAAGCCCAGCTGTGGTTCTGATTTTGCAGATCCATTGGTGATCTATCCCTCCAACACCGACACCGCTATCACCATGCCTAACGGCTTTCCTAGCATACTTACAGGGAGCAGATGAAGGTCCCCGCAGGACTCCTGCGCCGGATGTCCTCGTACTCCTCATAGATTCCCCTCTTCTGCTTTCGGTTCACATGGTCCTTCAGTTGATGGACAGTCATGCACTTTGGTCCTGGAACATGCACTGAGCCATTATCTCGTGGGGAAACCAGCGGTACCAGGATCAGCTCATCCAACGGGTCTGGATGGCCATTCTGCTGGGGGAGGAACCCGCAGTTCCAGCTGAGAGGGTCCAGCTTGAGAGATCCCCCCAGGTATTCGGGGAGACATTCCCGGGGCAGGTGTTCCTTCAGCTCTGACATCTTCACCATCTGAACCTGGGGGAACAGAGCGAGATGGGATGGGGTGAAATGCACACTGAGCATGGACTTGACCCAGCCTGTACATGATGGGAGGAGAAAGGGGGGGCTTGCTTGAGACAGTGGACACCTAGAATGGGATGTATTCTGCTTGACTGGGGCTAAGAAGTGAATTGATCCACTTCCCTCTTGAAGCCATTACAAGGCCTGGAAAATTCCTCACAAAAAGGTCTTTGAGTAGCCCTTTCCCCTCCATTCTCTTGTTTAGAAATCTGTTCTTTTCAGTGAATGGAGCTGTTCTGACATACTCCAGTAGGGGGCGTCTGCCTTTCCTCTGCTGGAGCAGAACAGAGATCTGGTCTGTGAACGTCTGGATAGAAACAGCTCCCTTTCCGCGACTACAAGGCTGGATTTGTGACTACTGGGGAAAAGTCCACAGTTCAGGTGGATGCTTTTCATGTAAGTCTCCAGCTGTAATCAGGCAGAGTGGGGAGGACAGGTGCAATTCAAAGCCAAGCCATCATAGGATCTGGGAGCATTAAACTCCAAGGACATGGTTCCATCTGAAGTTATTTAAGGATACTGATGAGGTTGCCAGCTATACATCCTCTTTGGTTAAGAAATATTCACACGATGGTCATCGTTTTGCTAGTTATCTGAAAGAGAACCCCTTCAAGGCATGGACTTGGTCTACAGAGCGTGGCACACTCTGGGGCCATAGAAAGACTGTACACTCTGATTAAATTCCTTTCCTTGGAAATGCTGCCCAGTTTCAAAGTCTGAATATGATCTTTTGGTTGATGACTAAAAGGGAATTAAAAAAACTGTCCTTATTTTCCAAGAAGGAAGAAATGGTTTCAGACCCTAGATGGCTAACAGAACTCATGGGCCGCCCTAGAAATGGAATGTGAAGAAAGGATTGTTTTAAAAATTAATTTTATTTGCCAATACCCAAGGTCAGGCTTCTGAGTGAGATGATGGTGCCTCAATCCCTGCTTTGAAGCGAAAGCAGGAAGCTGCATTCCTTACATTTTGATGACAATATAAACACCCTAACCACTGGAAGGAATGCAAACCCCTGCTTTGCTTTACTACCTGTAGCTTCTGTGGTGCTAAGCGAAAAGGGAAAACCTAAGTCAGACAGCAGGTGGATGTGATACAATCCACTTTTGCAGGAAAAGCCCAGAAACCTGATCAAAGGACTTTGTAAATTAAAGCCCTTTTCATTTAGCCTGTTAGAGTATGATCTGCAATATGTTGAGTGGCCTAAACCCTGCCCAAAAAGTCAGGACTGGGCCTTTAATTTAAGGCTAGCTATGAGTTCTGGTAGACCCCAGACCAGCAAAACATGTACAGTTGAGTAGTTATGCTCATTTCAATGGCACTATTCATTTACTTAAAGTTATGCACATGTTTATGTGCTTTGCTGCATTGGGACCTAAATCAGATGGTGGGTTTTTTTTGTTTGTTTGTTTTTTACATACACCCTCCCACACATGTTAAAAAACAAACAAACAAACATTTAATTTCCCCTTTAAGCATCGATCCTTTACCACCTTTTCCCATTGTTGCTGACGCTGGCAGCTACACAATAAAGGACGAGATCAGGGGTGGGATTTCCAAAAGGGCTCAGCTTTGGCTTAAAGTTCTTCCTCTGTGTTTCTGTAGTGCCTAGCACAACGGGGCCCTGGATGGGACCAGGACTAACGGCCACAGTTATCATACACATTAACAATAACGAGAGAGTCCAACTGGAGATTCTCGGCCAAGTGCAGCCTCGGAAGCTTTGGCTGCACGAGAGCATGTCGCTGTGCCAGCAGGGTAACGGTGCGACCATTTGCACAGACACAAAAGCACTTTGGTGTGGACACACGCAGGCACAAGCGAGCTAACATTCTTGCAAGTTCAACAGTCGTTTTTGAGTGCTCAGGGCTAAGTCAACCCCGGGTGCGATGGACACAACCTTGCTGGCTTCAATGCAGCTGCTCCTGTTTGCACCCTTCGTGCATTTAGCCCTTAGCCTTATGCTTCTTTAGCAACACTGGGAGAAAGGTCCAGCTGCCATCACTGGAACGTGTCGGCCAGCGTGCTATGAAAAGGGCTGCACAAGAGGCTATGAGATCACCTATCTGTCACGCAACATCAGGCTTTGCCTCACAGTCTCCCTGCATGACGCCCTGTTTAAGGAGAATTTCCCCACGGCAGGGACTCTGATTCGGGGCTTTTTCCCATGTGCCAGCACCTCCTCAGCCCTGGCCCATGTTTTACTCACCCTTTCTCGGAGCTTCTCTTTCAGCAGGAGGCTGATGATGGAGTAGGGGACTCGGAACCACATCGGGGCACCCACAATAAACACCTTTTTGAGACGAGCTGGGAAGGCTCCCTGTGGATGGCACACGGATGCATTTTAAAACCTCAACCTCAACCCATGCCTTCTCTTTCCTGCCTTCCCCACTCACGGCCAGCAGGGGGAAGATACAGCACATGCCTGGAGAGAAATTAGGCAAAGGGCCCAACAGCAAGAGGCAATTTAACTAGAGGAAAGAAGAAGCTGCTTTGACTCTGCTCTTTAGGAAGTGACAGGAGTGGAGCCCAGAGGCCATGCTGATGAGCACATTAGAAATGCCTAGCTGTGTTAACACCCAATTGGAACTTTGGGATCTTTTTTTCCTTAAAGCTCAAGAGTTAATTCGTTCTGGAATATTTAACTTTTCTGTATATACATAAAATGCATTATGGTTACAGCTTAATTGTCTGTGCGCTTAAAGGGCAAGTCTTGTGGTAAAATTTCCCTGTGTAATGCTTCCTTATTTCTCTTATGTTTACTTTGGGCAATCAGTAATTGTCAGGATACTAAAAACAAACAAGTCAAAAAACCTTGGTTCTGTTTTAATTGAAACAGTTCCAGTCATTGCACCATGAAGCAGATACATTCTAATAGCAAACGCTTCACATTATATAGTACTTTCCAGGCCTGATCTAAGCTCACTCCAGTCAGTGGTAAGATTCCCACCAATTCCAGTGGGTTTCAGATCAGGCCCTACATGTCCAAAACATTTTACGGTCATTAACTAACTGATCCTTACAATACCCGCTTTGAGGTAAATGGGGGAACTACCGTTCTCCCCATTTTACAGATGGATAAACTGAGGTTGACTAACCCAAGGCCAAACAGTGCACCGATAGCAGAGCTGGGGCTAGAAATCAAATCTTGAGTCTTGTGCTCTACCCACTAGACAGCACTGCCTCTCGGTCTAGGTAGCTTTGGATAGCAAGCTAAGTAGAGCAGAGATATTAGTGTTTGAAAGAAGTCACTGCAGACATGGTGACTTCCCACAAGTACTCTCACCCTTTCCATTTATAGCACTGGCAACAGCTTTGACTCCTGCTACCATGAAGAATGGAGACAGCCATGTGTTCTGAACTCTCAGCGTCTAAGGGAAAGCGGGGTTCAGAGAGAGCTGCTTCACTCTGCAGTCTCTATCTAGGTACATATAGGGCCCTCTTCAGTGTCTTTAAAATGGATTTTATCCCCATGACACCTCGGTGAGGTAGCACAGCGCTACTGTACCCATTTCACAGAGGGAGAACTGCGGCACAGGACGGATTAAAGGATTCATCCAAGTTCACACAGGAAGTTTGTGTCCAAGAACGGAATCGAATCTAGGTCTCCCAAGTCCCATTCCAGTGCCCTATCCACTGCGCTATCCTTTCTACCCCCTACAGTAGGTTGCATAGTCTCAGAAAGATGCAGCGGGGAAAGCTTCCGTTCCCATCAGCTCTCCTCCACCCACCCCCATTTTCCTTTACCTTCAGCAGGTTGAGGATTTTCTTGCTCAGGTCCAGCTCGAAGTTGGTATAGTGGGAGCCCGCCATGTCGTAGATGAACACCAGGCCGTTTCTCTGCGTTTCAAAGCTGGGTAAATGGGGGAGACAGAAAGAATCACCTGTTGCAGGTGATGTGGAATCCTGGTGCACAGAGACGCACAAAACATGGATTCGTTTAACCCCTTAAGTACCACTTTTTTTTTTTTTTTTTTTGCAATAAGAGTTAAGCAGGATATTTACTTTGAACAACAGAGGCCAGACCCTCAGCTAATTGACATCACTGAGGTTCTGACCCCAGGTTTTTAGGAACAGAAAAATCATGGAACCTCAAATGGGGTATTTGCACTATCGATTCTCAGCGTAGGTGGCAATTTGGCAAACTCCTTGCTGAACTCACACTGACGTCCGTAGGACTCAACTGCATGCTTATGGTGTTTTGCTGTATCGGGTCCTTACTACAGGCAAGACACAGTAATCTAGCATTCAAAGTTAAGGAGAATAAAAACAAGATGGATGCTGGGCTATCAAGTGGTGTAATCCTCTCCCCTGTAAGCAGTTTGGAAATGGCTCTTTCAATGTAGCATTTCTACTACAGAAGCATCAGGTCCAAATGAATGGGGGAGCTGGCCCTGTTGCTTTAAACAGGATCTGGCCAGTAAAATAGTACAGAAATATACCACCTGCAATGCAGCAGTTCCAGATGTAAGGGGGCCAAATTGTGCCCACAAACTGCCTGTTATTTTCTGAACTGAAGCCCTAAGTGCCAGGTGCACATCAAAACAATCATTTGTCTAAACGTTGTGCAGTTAAGTGATCCATTGGGCAGATTAGAAAAGCCTGGGGCTGGTTTGTGCACTAGGAAACTGATCAAGGTGCCCACTGCTTGTTAATTACGCCTTGCTTGTAATTAACATATGCACCACCCTGTACAAACAGCTTCTTGCCTCTTGGTTCAAACAATCATTAGCTTCGGCAGTGAAAAAGAAAATCTGTAGCAGGTAAAAACCTTTTTTTCCCCTTTCATGCTGAAACCAAAATTCCTGTTCAACTGAAAACAGGGAGTTTGTAAACCAGGGATCAATGTGACCCCTTCTCTCTCGTTTTTGCAATGCATGAGACAGAGATGGGGAATCAGGATGCACATAGGCAGATATGGCTTCAGTTACGCATCTACTTGCGGCGCGAGACAATGCCTCTATCTGGGGCTCTCTGAGATCACGCTGGATGTTTCTGAAGTAGGGTGCACTGGCGAATCGGGCATAGCTAAGAACTTGGTTCATTAAGCAGAGTTCACAGTGTCCTCTCGAGGTTTTTAAACGTTTATTTCTGATTACTTCGTTCGCTTATTGTTGGACGTGTTTAGTTATTTCAAAACTGAAAATAAACTGAATGTGCAACATTGGCCTGCTAAGCAGGAGACAAAAGCCATCTTTTCTATAGGGTTTCTGGGGAGGGTAGAGGCTGGGGCTCCTCTATGGAACGGAAAAGGAAGGGGATTTTCTGCTGCTTTGATTTACTAGCTCATTGAGTTAATCTGTTCCTCCTCCCCCATATGGATTATTCGTGTGTTGCTGGGTGGTTATAAGAACGACAACAACAAAATGCTGGTCTAGATCAAGCCAGCACCAGCTACTGCCAGGTTCCTTGTTATGGGATAACCTGCCTGAAGGGAAAATTTCTACCTACCCCTCTTTGATAAGAGACTGGTTTATGCCCTGAAACATGAGGGGAGGGACCGGCTCTTTGTCATGTTTCTGTACAGCACCTGGTACAGTGGGGCCCTGGGCCATGAGCAGGGATCCTAGATATTCTGGCAATTCACCTAACAAATAATGGCGAGTTACTCTGCCTTCCAAAACTCTTTTAAGGGCAAAGTTTCCAAAAGAGCCTCACTGATTTAGAGGGCTAAGTCCCATTGCTTTTCTTATGTCAGTCAGGGGCTTTTGGAAATGTTACCCTTAACCCTCCTAATATTAACTCTGGATGCTCTTGTTATCTATAGCCATGTCCAGTCCTTTTTGGAACTCTGCTAGCATCTTCAAACTGTGAGTTTAACGGTCTGCTTGCCTTCAGCCTGTGTAAAGGCATCTTAATTAATTTATCTTTAATTACAATAGAGAAAAAAAAAACAGCCAAAAAGAAAATCAACAATAATTCCAGTGCTTTGCCAGCTGAGATTTAAACTTTGTAACACTTTTAGCCAAAGGAAATTTAAACCTTCACTAAGTACTTTCTCAATCCAATCTATTCCCCCAGTACTCAGAGTCACAGCAAATGGAAATCAAAGCATTTCAAGCTGAGCTCTTTTCAGTAATTCCTGATTTTTATTTTATTTTTTAAAACTTACAAGCACTTCCACTCATAGACTTTAAGGTCAGAAGGGACCATTATGATCATCTAGTCTGACCTCCTGCACAACGCAGGCCACAGAATCTCACCCACCCACTCCTGTAATAAACCCCTAACCTATGTCTGAGTTATTGAAGTCCTCAAATCGTGGTTTAAAGACCTCAAGGTGCAGAGAATCCTCCAGCAAGTGACCCAATTTAGGACCCAATTCACACTCACTGAAAATTCTGATGCTGATTATTTCTGCAGTGCCATAGGTATGTATGGCACTTCAAATTCACTGGCACCCCAGAGCCATTCCCCCAGGTCAGCCCACATGTTTTACAATCTCAAATGGTAGCTGACTAGATGCACTCACAGGCGGAGGTGCAACTACCTGCCCATTTACAGACAGTGGCCCTGATCCTGCAATTGAATCCACGCTGGGAGTCCCTTGCATCTATACAGATCCATTTGCAGGACTGGGGTTCACGTTTGTAGAAGTGTCAGGTTTTGAGGCCATGTCTACACTACAGACTTCTGCTGTCAGGGGTGTGATAAGTTTTGCCAGTATAAGTTGCAGCTGCCCTAGCTCTTTGCCAATCTAATATATTGCTATAGCTCTACTAGCAAAACCTCCCAAGCGTAGACCTGGCCAAAGATTATAAGCTCTTTGGGGTGGGGACTGTGTCATCCTGTGTGTTTGAACAGTGTCTACCATATCATGGGTGCTACTGGAATGCAAGTTATGAACAATGATAATCAAAGGGACGATGCATCTTTTTCTGTGACGCTTGAGGAGAATCCATGAGAAACCCCAACAAAAAGCAATCTTTGCACTGCTTAGAGATCGGACCTTCCAATCCCCAGTCCTCCAGGGTACAAGTCTGAACTGCGTGTCTGCCCAAAAGAGCTCTTGGGATAATGAATGCATATTCCTCTATACACTCTACAGCAAAGCACACACTTCCTTTTCAAAATTTAGCTTTATGCAGTAGACTATTAGGGCTGAGGGTGCATCAGCAGGGCCAGCTCCAGGGTTTTTGCCGCCCCAAGTGGCGGGGGGGGAGGAAGGGGGGAGCCGCGATCGCGATCGGCGGCATTTCAGCAGCAGCTCAACCTTCTTCTTCGGCAGCAATTCGGTGGCAGGTCCTTCCCTCCAAGATGGACCCGCCGCCGAATTGCCGCCGAAGAGCCCCTTCCCCTTGGCCACCCCAAGCACCTGCTTGCTGAGCTGGTGCCTGGAGCCAGCCCTGTGCATCAGGCATGGTAACACTCCAAACTAGCCTTGTATTTAAATGCCAACAAAATGCATTCATGTCGTATGGAGCAGTGTTTCTCAACGGGCCAGTCCCCGATATCTCCCTGACGCAGTTTAAGAAGGCAGCAAGCCCAGTCCCTGGTATCCAAGAGGCTGAGAAACACGGATACGGAGCACCTGACAAGCAAGAAAATTCAGAGGTAAAGTAGCTCTAGTTTCAGCCTTCCCCACTATGTTCTGACACTGCAACTTATCGGAATCAGAATTCTCCCAACGCAGAGCGATCGTCCATGCCCTAGGCACTGCAGCCCCCAGGGACGAGCAGAGTGGGGAAGGGGTGAATAGCTGAGAATTTTCTTTCACTTTTGCATCAGGAAATGAAAGCCCTGAAAGTGGGTCAGCCTGTCATGTGTCTCACAGTACGCTCCCTGTTTCGTTACATTAACCTTTGTGCATACTAGCTGCTCCAAAGAATGGTATTGTTACATATAAAACGAGTATACTCCCTGCTTCCAAATGTGGGTGCCCAGATAACAACCTGCCTCATCCCCCTACCAAAAATCCTCCCTGAAAATCTTCAGGGGAGACCATGGTTCTTAGCTCTTTAACGCATACCAGAGCCAATGACTCAGTCAGGGATTAAGAGGCCATGGCTTCCTTGAATACAGTCAAAAGCATCAGGGGTGCGAGATAGCAAATTTCTCAGGGAAGCCAGCTGGGCCTAGGGATTTTTCATAAGCTTTCGCAGGCCTTTGGCCTTTCTGACCGAGCCCCGCACAGACAGCTCTGAAGAACAGAGATCATTTTGAAAGCTGGATGAAAACAAATAAATAAATAGTAGCATTAGGGACATTCAACCAACCGAGCACTGGGATTCAGCTGGATATCCCCAAATCTTATAATTCAACATATTAATGCACCTCGTGTAGGAGAGTTTATATTGCCTGGGGGCAGCCGTACCACAATTACAGCTTGGAGATTTCAAATCCCTGCTTTAACAGCACCGATTCAATTAATACTGCTCAGCGTTTCAGCCAAACGCCCCTTGACTTCTCTTCTTTACAGATCCTTCAAAGGCAGATTGAAGGACATAAACCACATATGGGGCATCTTCAAAAACTAATCAAGGGCTTGTGTAGCTGTTAGTGCAATCTCCTAAATGGACGTAGTTATAACACGCATGCAAACTACATTCAGAGAACATTGCTAAGGTTGCAAAGTCAAGCACTCAAAAGATAGGAAATGCCAGACTGATGGTTACCGGTGCATTGAATGAGGCAGAGGCCCTGTAGATAAAATAGTATGTGACCACGACACCAAAGCCTATTTCACAATGCAGCTGCGCAAAGGGACCAAATTCAAGTTTCACGGGGTACCCAAATTCTGCCATTGCCTCTTTTGCGTGCTGGACTTTGCAACCTTAATAATGTTCTTTTTGTGTGTGTAAGTTCTTAGGTTTTTAAGAAAGCAAACTGAAAAAAAAAAAACCTAAATTCCATCATGCGGCATCATATCGACACCACAATGAGATACAAAGGAAAAATCAGCCCAAGTAGCAGCACTTACCCATCATGTGATCACCGATCATGTGGCCAATACAACTTAAGACCCCCACTGCACTTTCCCACTAGACAGAAATCCTACCCTTGAGTGCCGCGCGCCTCCACCAGTGTCTGCTCAGACAGGCAGGCTCTGCGGTAGGCCTGGAAAATCAGCTAATATGCAAGTATCCTTTATATTGTAGAAGATAGGCCAAGGTCATTCAAATGAATCAGCTCAGGTTTGGTCTCTTATCCCAAATAGCCTGGGAGCTGAAAGAGACAGATCTGGTGGGTTAGAAGAGTCATGAACTCAGGGAGCAGGGCTTAAAAAATAAACCCTCTGCCTTGGTCCCCAGGCCCAGTCCTGCATGCACTCACATCTGTCTACAACAAGAGACACAGGCTGGAAATGCTGCAGGGATTGGAGGCAGAGGGGAGGGAAGCCAAGATTTCTCCAAAAAATCCATGCTACAAATTCCTGCCAAGTAGTGCGTACAGACGGACAGCCTGGATTGTGGAGTTCAGCAGGGCAGGGAAAACCATCCCGCCTAGATTGCAATGGAAATTACAGGTATTAAAGCCAGTCTAGGAACAGCAAGCTGAGCAGTCAGGAGTTGCGTGCCGCACACATCTGTACTCACCTCTCCACAGCTCTGTCCAGCAGATAGAACAGCGCCTGGAGCACCACATGTTGGACGCTTTTATTGGGATGATGTAACTTGGCGGTGAAGAGGGCGATAGAGGCTCCGGAGGGGTCCCGCGCATTCTAGAAGGTAATCAGGGGAAAAGCATAAAGACCAGACAGGTGGCAGAACATGGATGGGAGAAAGCTCTTTGGGACAGGGACAGGGTCTACTTGTGTGTTTGTACAGCACCTTTGCACTATAAACACTATAAACAAATAGTAATGATGGAGGTTTCACGCTGCAGCAGACTGGAGATGCAGAACGGCGAGTATGAATGTAGCAGACATGTGCAGGACACCCCATACAGAACTGACCTGCACAGACCACTTACTGGTTTATTTTAGAGAGATTAATTTCCGCTTTCCCACTGTTCATTACTTGTGAGATTTCCTGCTCTGATCCACAGGGGACAAGAAAAGTACGACTTACATCCACGGAGGAGAAGACAATTCTATTTCCTTACTCATTCCGTTCTACGAGCCTCCCAATAGTCTACTGCACTCTTAAAGTGAACCAGAGGAGCCCCCAGAAGCTGAGCATCTTTAGCCGGCATTTTCCCCAAACCAACCAGATTACCCAAGGGAAGGGGATAAGCCCAAGGAGTAGCTAATGCCAAACACTGCTGTGCAGGAGAACTGGCCCAGGAGCTCCCTTAGGACCCTCACTGCTCAGGACGATGATGAGCTAACTGCGTCTCTGAGACACTGCCATCACGCTCAGCTTGGAGCTTGCAGCCAATGGGAGAAGGAGAAAGGAGAGACTAAGAGGGGAAAAACAGCTGTTGTGGGTGAATAACCACAGCCCCCACTTCTTCAAGGATCCCAGCCGGACCACCCCAAAATCCTGAGTCCCTGCCTAGGGGTTACAATCTCATGAGACATAATGGTGAAAATACCACCTTGTATTTCGCCTTCCAAGACCCGTGCACACTTAGTTTTTCCCAGTGCTGCCCAGCTGTCTCTCAAGGTTGCAGGCCCTTTGGACATGGAGAGGACTCCGCTTGCACAAATCGGGCACATTGACGAGAAAGACCAGGGCGTGATCTCACACTTACTAGGATGGTGAATTTCCCACTGAGCAGCTCAGAGCGCAGAGGTTCTTCATGAGGTTTCAGCTTCACAATTCCTTCCTTCAACCGAGTTTCCTAAGGGTTCAGAGGCACACAACAATCACACAGACAGCACAGGTAGCAGCCTCCAATCAGCTGCCATTACTATTTCCTGCTCAGCTGGGAATCATTACAGGTATATGGCCACCATCATCACCCACCTGCTCAGTGACCAAGCCTCATGCAAATCTAACCCAAACAAATTTCCAGATCTGGCTACAAAACTTGTGCCACCTTCTCACATCCTGAGGCTGGCCAGAACCACCAATTTCCAGGCTGGGCCACCAAATCTAGCCAGCTAGCCCAGGTCTGGGGCTGGCGGAGAGGATGGGAGGCAAACCAGCTTGTCATGTGTGTCCAGATGCTGCACATAGCTCAAGGTGGTTTTCTATTTGAGGTTCCACTTTAAGGAGGGTCTGTATAAAATGGCACTTTCTTACTCAATAGCCCCTGCTCCGGGTGCTTGAGCAGAGCTAGATCTGGGCACATTTAGTGCTCTTTTCTCGTTAGTCCTGCAAAGCTAATCCAGCATTGGGAGAGCGAGCTGCAGTCTGTTCTTCCTTGTGCATGGACAGACCCAGTTACTAAGTTCTAACCCCAAAGCAGTTCCATCTGGGCAAACCAACTGCAGGCAATGGAGCTGACAGGCGTAACTCAAGGGAGAATTTGCCCTGCAGAGCTTTTTTCTACTGGTGGTGATGCACAAGATGGAAAGAACCTGGCTTGACTCCCAGAACACAAGTCAGATTTGCAGGGTTAGTGGATAGAGAAAACATCTTTTTACTTGTCAACCAAGTACATTTGATGTGGGACCACTGAGAAAAAGGAAACATGGAATCCCAGGGTGGCTTTTCTTCAGTGACCTTCCAGAGCAGCAACACACGTTAAGCCTTATCAGAAGGCCATTGTCAGCCATGGTTGGTGGGCAGGTAGCCTGACCCAAGACACTGAATAGGCAACAAGTTCTTGGAGAAAGGCACTAGGGCTGTCCTCTGTCTCTCATATTCCCTGATTCAGCAAGCTACTTAATCACATGCCGAACTTAGTCCCATTGACGTCAATGGGTCTAGTCGCAAACTTAACATCAGGCATGTTCTTAAGTACTTTGCTGAAATCAGGACCATGCTGGTGGAGCTTCGCTGCATCAGAGTTCGTTACAAGGAGGTTCCACTACGTATGTGTATTTCACAGGAAAAGTTGCCAGCCCAGGCACCAAATCTACTGACCCTCCTTGAACAAGGTGAGGATGTTACTAATGACAATAAAATCCCTGGCCAGGTGACAGAACGTGTGTGGAATTCTGCAAGGCTGGGGCCAGCGTGCCGTCTGTGCCCTCTCACCTTTGGCTCTGACCTGATGAGATGTGTCTCCTGGGGGGTGCGGCATGCCTTCATTTCCCCTGGACTCAGATCCTGCAGGACCAAGCCCTTGTTTTGGTTTCTAGCCCAGGTTCACTCTAGCACCTGAGCCAGAGGGCATGTGAGAGAAGGAGAAGTGATTTGTTCAGTATCGGGTGCTCAAGCACAGCAGCCATTGGTCAGAGAAAACTGTGTTTTGGGATCCCTTCCTGTTTGCTTGTCATGCAGCTGGGGGATTGTTTGTTGTCAGCACCATAAACGTTCTGCCTTTGGTCTGTCCCACAAGAGGAAGAGAGCAGTGACTCAAGCTAGTGGAGACACTCCAAACCTGATTGCAGGGGAGTGTGGGTAGCACTTGAGTGTTCAGTATCATACAGTTCCGGTTTCAGCAATTACCAGACGAGCCATGAGCCAGCTAATCTTTCATTATTCTGTGGAAGCGTGATCTAGTGCCTAGAGTGGCTAGGACTAGGTGTCAGTTCTCTCCCCAGCTTCCCCTCGGACTTGCTCTAGAACCTTGAGAGAGCCACTTAAACTTGCTATGCTTCAGTGACCCCAGCCTATAACTTCACCGCCTGCAGACAAGCCAATACTCTTCTGGCATTTAGAGCAGCCAGGGCTGCCAACTGACTTTTTACATTCACCCTTAGACAAGGGAACACATTACCTCAGAGACACTCAATCACCCCTTGGTATGATCAAGGTCTTACAAGCCAGGACCAACATTTCCAAAAGGTCTCACATGTACTTATATCTAGACAACTAGGGCCTTGTCTACACTACAGGGGAAATTCGATCTCAGCTACGCCATTTAAGTTATATGAATAGCGTAACTCAAATCGAAGTAGCTTAGATCTACTTACTGCGGGGTCCACACTACACGATGTGGATGGGAGACGCTCTCCCGTTGACTCCCCCTACTCTTCTCCATCCAGTGGAGTACAGGAGTCCACAGGAGAGCGATCTGCGGTCGACTTAGCGGGTCTTTGCTAGACCCGCTAAATCGACCGCCAACGTATCGATCGCCACTTCTGGATGTAAACAAGTGTAGACAAGCCCTGAGCCTACATTTCCAAAAATTACTAGGGATTTTGGAGGCCCCACTTGAGAGACCTAAAAGGGGCCTGCTTTGCAGACAGCACTGAGCACCTGCCTCTTGAGGTACATGTCTCTTTAAGGGATCTCAAATTGGGGCCTCAAAAACAGGCCCCCCCAAAATTCCTCGTCACTGAAAAAAGTTACATCCCACTGTTTTGATGTAGATACCACTGCAAGCCGCAACGAGTGATGTGCGCTACCACACTGCCGGGCATTTGATGAACGCACCAGAGGCTGCTACCTGCCCAAAAGGTATTACATACCACATCCTGGTAGCGACAGATGCTCAGCTTACAACCAAGGTACCTCCAGTGCCTCCCGTTAGCTGCTGAAAGAAGCAGGGTGCTGTGGCACAGAAGCAGCAGACTGGGGTTGTGACGTAGTTCCTGGGTTTATATAGGGGGGACAGACACACTAAGAGTTTGTGGGTGTGGTTAACCCACTAGCCAGATCCCAGGGCAGAGGATTATGGGTGTGTGTGAGAGAATCCATAGAGAAGCCATCTGCGATTCTCAGTCTGAGGTTTGTTCAGGTTTCATAGACTGCATAGAGGACACAGGGCCCCTTTTTAATCCAGAATAAAAATACCAGCAATAGAAACCTTTGTCCCAGTAAGGCTCTGGCACTGGTTCTATAGCTGCTTTGGAAAAGGGAGCTGTGAATATCTGCTAACAGTATCGCCTGAAAAGGATTAGAACAGATATGGAGTGAAGCTGTTCAATGCAGGACCAGAAGGCACTCGGGTACTATGGTGATAGGCATCAGATAATAACCTCTACAGCAGTGGTTCTCAAAGTTTTGTACTGGTGACCCCTTTCACATAGCAAGCCTCTGAGTGCGACCCCCCTTATAAATTAAACACACTTTTAAATATATTTAACACCATTATAAATGCTGGAGGCAAAGCAGTGTTTGGAGTGGAGACTGATAGCTCGTGACCCCCCATGTAATAGCCTCGCAACCCCCTGAGAGGTCCCGACCCCCAGTTTGAGAACCCCTGCTCTACAGAATCCAATATTGTTCCTGAAAAGGGATGGGGAAGAAGGCTGGATGTTGGCATGGCCTAGAGCTATCCATTTCAATAATTCCTAGGACACATTCCTGTAAAAAACTGTGACCAAGCAGTGAAAGACGAGAAGTATCTGAAAGGGAACAAGTTTGGGGGATGGGCAAGTTTAAAACATTGTCTAGTTTTTTTGCTATCATCATCCTGGCAGGGTGGTTTGAATTGATTTTGTGCCTGGGTGACTCGCAATGATTTTGCATGGCTGATTTATACGCTTGTAGGTTTTTCATTAAAGCAAAAAAAAAACTGAAAGAAAAAAAAAAAAAAAAAAAAAAAGAGTTTGAGGGCATAACTGTTCCCATGGAAACGAGAACAGCTTTTGCAATGCATCACATCACTTAACAGCACAGAAAAGCCCAGCCTGACTCCAGCTCCCCCCTTCACCAAGACAGCTCCGGCTCACGTACTCTGTAGGAGTGGAACAGTTCAATCGCTCGGAGGACATCAAACTTCCTAGCCATGAGGAACTTGACGGCCACGTTCCAGGAAAGCGGAGACACATTGTACTGCACAGTCCACTTGTTAATCTCCTCTAGGAACTGCTTCGTGGCCTATTTGAAAGAGAGAGAGAGAGAGACGCATGGTAAGGCAAGAGGGAAGAGACACATCAGTGTTTGCACACACTAAATACCAAGGGATGGAAAATAATCTGGTACAGAAGCTATTCTGAAATCCACTCTAACCCACTGTGTATCTAAAAGCATTAGATGGATCAGATAAGTAGGTGACACACAGTAAGGCAGAAACAATGAAATGAGAAGCAAAGGAGATGCAAATCACCAGCTCAAAGCAGCCTGCACAAATTAGCAGAGAGAAAGAGATGGGATGATTGGATAGCTGGCAGTGCAGCTGTACAGTATGATGCACCAATCACTGCAGTCTCACTCTTTTCATCAATCCCAGCAGCCAATGAGAGCGGTGGGAACAAACGAGCTCTGGCTGATTAAGCAATAAAAGAACAGGGATCTTTCATTGGAGCATTGTTAGCTACAGCAGCAAGTCACTTTTCTACTTAACACAGGCCTCCAGAGTTTGCATATTGCTTTCCATGGCAGCTTTGAAAGGCACCAGGAAGCCATAAGAGTGCTGGGTCATAGCTATGTGTGGTTAGTTAGACAAGCCTCAGAGGCTGAATCTGGAAAGCCACTCAGTGCTTTTGGAAACCCCGATAGCTGGCAATCCAGAGGCCGGGAGATAGATCTCCTAGCCTCCGCACTGCTGGATACCTGTGGAGAATGAACTGTATCACCTCCAGATGATGCCAGGTATATTGGAATCCCACCAGCCTTCACCTTACCAGAGTCATGGCCTTTTACTGTCTCAGCTATGCCTCACTGGAGACACATCCCTCACTTTAGACCCAGATTTGTCTCCTTCCAACACCAACCTTGTGCTCTCTTGCTATTTCCCTGAGTTATTTACATCAACAGTACTGACTGGGAGAACGAGGTTGTAGATCAGTTACAGGGAAGGAATTCTGAGAGAGACAGAAATATGGGTGAAATTCCATGGCCTGTGATATGCAGGAGGTCAGCCTAGGTGATCATAATGGTCTTTTCCGGCTTTGAAATCTATCAATCTATTAAATTTATTCCATATCAGGCAAAAGCATCCTTAGTTACCAGTCCTCTTTGTGTGACTCAAGCTGGGTCTTTGTCCCACATTAGTTATTTATGCAGCACAGTAAGTACATGCATTTCCATACAGTAAATGCCAAACTTGTAAACCCCTACAAAAGCAGGTACAATCCAGGACGGAATACACACAGCATGGGATGTGCTAGCGGTTACTGTGGAATAGGCAAAGGTTTGCATGGTTTATGAGAGAGAGAGAGAGAGAGAGAGAAAACTTAGTGTGATCTGGCAGGGAGAGAAGGCACAAAGGGTGAAGACAGAACAGTTGGAGAGGAGCTAGGGCACAGCACAGAGAGCAGGTGATGCCAAGCCACAGGGAGAGGGGGTGTTTTGGAGAGCCCTGGAAGCCAGGAGAGGACACTTCGCATGGAAGAAGAGGTGAAGCCAATGCAGAGAGACAAGGAGAAGGGGGGGTTCGGTCAGAGTAGCAAAGTTTGGGATGTAAGAAGGGTACCAGGGAGGGATGGAGCAGAGACCAAAGGAGAAGGAGTTGGAGCCATCAGAGTGGGAGGCTGGCGAAGGATGGAATATCTTGGTGACCGCGATGGAAAGGAGGGGGAGGATGAATTCTGTTGTAGATAAAGAAGCAAAATGGTTTGGCAAAAGCCTAGCCATGGGGGCAGAGGAAAGAGGAGTCTCATGGCTTGAATGAGGTGTAGGATAGTGCTTCTGTGAATAAGACTAAGAAATGGAGCAGAGAGGGGATTCTGCAGGAAATACAAGCTCTGGTTTGCATATACTGAGTTGTTTGAGGCAGCAGCAAAACATCCAAGGAGAGAAATTACTGGGACAGGCAGGGTTGCAGGTTCAGGTTTCTGACAGGCTGAGGAGCACGTTCAAAGCAAATGAGCTTTGTTGTGTACCAGCAAGAGGGCTTTCTACGGTGTTTGAAAGGAAACTATAGGGTGGGTGCATAACTGGCTGGATAACCGTACTCAGAGAGTTGTTATTAACGGTTCCCAATCCTGCTGGAAAGGCATAACGAGTGGGGTTCCGCAGGGGTCTGTTTTGGGACCGGCTCTGTTCAATATCTTCATTAACGACTTAGATATTGGTATAGAAAGTACGATTATTAAGTTTGCGGATGATACCAAACTGGGAGGGATTGCAACTGCTTTGGAGGACAGGGTCATAATTCAAAATGATCTGGACAAATTGGAGAAATGGTCTGAGTTAAACAGGATGAAGTTTAACAAAGACAAATGCAAAGTGCTCCACTTAGGAAGAAAAAATCAGTTTCACACATACAGAATGGGAAGAGACTGTCTAGGAAGGAGTACGGCAGAAAGGGATCTAGGGGTTATAGTGGACCACAAGCTAAATATGAGTCAACAGTGTGATGCTGTTGCAAAAAAAGCAAACGTGATTCTGGGATGTATTAACAGGTGTGTTGTGAGCAAGACACGAGAAGTCATTCTTCCGCTCTACTCTGCTCTGGTTAGGCCTCAGCTGGAGTATTGTGTCCAGTTCTGGGCACCGCATTTCAAGAAAGATGTGGAGAAATTGGAAAGGGTCCAGAGAAGAGCAACAAGAATGATTAAAGGTCTTGAGAACATGACCTATGAAGGAAGGCTGAAGGAATTGGGTTTGTTTAGTTTGGAAAAAGAGAAGACTGAGAGGGGACATGATAGCAGTTTTCAGGTATCTAAAAGGGTGTCATAAGGAGGAGGGAGAAAACTTGTTCACCTTAGCCTCTGAGGATAGAACAAGAAGCAATGGGCTTAAACTGCAGCAAGGGAGGTCTAGGTTGGACATTAGGAAAAAGTTCCTAACTGTCAGGGTGGTTAAACACTGGAATAAATTGCCTAGGGAGGTTGTGGAATCTCCATCTCTGGAGAAATTTAAGAGTAGGTTAGATAAATGTCTATCAGGAATGGTCTAGACAGTATTTGGTCCTGCCATGCGGGCAGGGGACTGGACTCGATGACCTCTCGAGGTCCCTTCCAGTCCTAGAATCTATGAATCTATGAAACCTCAGAGGTCTTTGTCTTTAAATATGACAGTGAGACAGCTGCTGAGGGCAATTCTCCCAGAGAGAAGAAACTCAGGGTTAAAATCCAGCCATACCTATGAACCTGATAGTGCCCCTACCCCAGGCATTCCTTCCTGCAAAACCCACCTGGAAAGCTGACAGACGGAGACCACCAACACTGGCTAGATACCAGAGCACTCCGTACAGGAGGGTGGATGACAAAGACATAAAGGCCACCACCAGCCATGGCTTTAGTAGCTATATCCCCACCTGCTTTAAATACCACGTTAGCTGGGAACCAGCTAGCACCAAACCAGAGAAAAAAAGCTTTAGCAATGCAAGGAGGACTGAAACAGCAAACATCAAAGTGACCAAGAAGGAAACAGACTGCTGCCTTGGACAACCCAGGCCAGGCGAACAAAGAAAGCCCAGGGCAAAGGAAGGAAGAAATTAAACCACAACCAAACATATAGGGCAGTATTCTGCTCTCCGCTATACCTAGCATATCCATAGGGTCGCACAGGTGTAACCCCAGGCAGGAGCTGGATGAGGGTCAGTTCCCCTGAGCGCTCCCTAAGACAGTGGTTTTCTTCTCTAGCCAGGACAATGCTTTTTTTGCTAACCTCCTAACGGGATCCTCCAAAGATCCTAGCAGAACAAAACCCCAGATATTCTGCTGTGAGGACACACAAAGGACCTTTTCATCCCCTCTAGGCTGATAATTATTTCAAAAATAAATAACTGACAATTAATCTCTAGATAGAAGAAGCCAAGAACCCTCCGTAGAATGGGATGCATCACCCGGCAAGATATAAAGATGGCTCTGCATAAAATAATCCACATGTATGATTAATTCACACTATTTGCCTTCCTCAAGCTATAGCAGCATTGCCATCGCTCATCATTTAAGTGCAAGGCTCGTGATATTTGGTGCTTTCCTCATAGCCTCAGCACCGGGAGTTGTGTAAATATAGGAGAATCTCAGCTTTCATTAAAAACATGAGATGATTTTTGAGGCTAGACAGCTCTAGTTGTCACCATGGAGGCAATGGGATCTAGGGTAACATTTTCAAGCGTCTAAGTCCCATTTTTGCTTTTGAAAATGTTACCCTTAGTGAACAGGGCACAGGGGTGGGTGGGATTCAAGACAGTTGAGTTCCCTCGCTGGCTCAGTCAGTGCCCTGCTGTATGACCGTGGAGAAGTATCGTTACCTCTCTGTGCCTCTGTTTCTCTCCCCCTCTCCTTTGTCTGTTTAGATGGTGAGCTCTTTGGGGACAGGGGCTGTTTCTCAGTAGGTGTTTATACAGCACCTCGCACTGTGGAATCCCAATCTTGGTTTGGCCTCTGTGCCCAATGGTAACACAAACATCAGATAACAATAATCTCTTTAAACTTAGCTCCTCCTCTGAAATGGCCTTAACTCCAGGGAGCAATTGCCTGACTCTGCCACCTGCTGGCCAGGATGTGACTCTTGGCTCAGAGCATAGGAACAGTTCTTTCGGGTTTGGCCCGGACATCGGTCCTTGCGAGAATAACCTGGTCTATATAATGGTGGGATCTTTCTAGATATGATGGATACAAATATGCCACTTGCTCTGCTCCATCCCTAGCAATGGCAGCATCAGTCTTGCAATTTCCTCTCTAGTTTTTGTACCGTCCCTTTGAATAGAAGGGAGGGTGGCTGCAACCAGCCCAGCTCTATGGGGCAGGGACGGTCTCTGACAATATGCTTATACAGAGCTAGCACAATGGGGTCCCAATAGTGTTTGCTGCTTCTTGGCAGTCCTGTAACACAAGTAATGATAGCAGCCTTTGGGGTGGGAAATAAACTGTTTTTCCCAGGGGAGAAAAAAACCAACCCAGTAGGTCTCACCCCCCCCCCCATGTAGTATTATTATTATTTTTTAAATGTGCTTCTATATCATTCCAAAGCACGTCCAGGGA